GTCACTGTAAAATAATACAGTTCTCAATTTACTTTTTTTTCATAATTGAAAACCAGGGTTGGGTTGATTTAAATCAGGTCGATTTAAATCAGTTAATTTTTTTATATTTAAATCAACTTGATTTTAAAAATAAAACTCAGTGATTTAAATCACTTTTAAAAAATGTTTTCTGTTTTTACATCTTTAAACATTCAGAATTCCATTCCTGGGTTTTATAAAACAGATATAAGGTTTAGTAGACTAAAATTGCTTAAAAGTCTGCTTTCCCCCCCTGTCACTGTGTAAGTAGTAAAATAATACAGTATTCAATTTACTTTTTTTTCATAATTGAAATTAGCATTTTCTTTTTCTTTTTAGACAAACACAAGCGCGTGCTCACACACACACTGTAATAAAAATAAAATGCAAGTTTATCTATGCATAATTACCCCCCTTCCTTTTAGACTGACATTTTCTTCATTTTTTGTCTGTAGCCATAATTCACTGCTAGCAGATTAAGGCTTTCTAAAATTGCAGTTGTTTAAATTGATCATTAGTTAAAATAAAGATAATGCATTTTGCACTAAAAGAACATACTTTTAGCCACCAAAATTCCCAAACTGTGTCGACATAAAAAAATTTAAAAAAAAATCCGATTTAAATTTAAAAAATCAGATTTAAATTTTAAAAATCGATTTTTTAAATTTTTATTTAAAAAATCAAAAAAATCACCAACCCTGGTCCCCTATCTAGTTCCACTTTTGGTCAGTCCTTTTTCGAGAACATCGGTCATCTGCTAGTGTGCAGCAGTCAAGTTCGAAAAAGGCTTCGGAAACATTCTTTGAGAAGTTTTGAGGTGTCTTCAGTTACTTTTAACTAGAGTAGCTGGCCCAACCCACTACCACTTGTCTCTATACCCTCTGTTTATAATATAAGATAATTGTTTTCGTCATAATTTGCTAAAGAAATGATTATACTAGCCTTTAAATAGTGTACTAACAACTTTCTTGCTCCTGTTATGTATGTGTGCGCATGGTCGCGTCCCGTTCCGTATGCGGTTGCGCTGATGGCGTGCGGTTGCGCCAAGGGCAGAACATTAAAATGTGAAAATGTGAAATCTGCGAATGACGTTTTGGAATGAGAGACGATATCACGATATAAACCGGAAGTACCGAAGTTGACACACTGAAACGGCCCTGAACATGGATTGCCTGACCTATTCTGCCGACAGAGACCGCTGAGAAGCAAAATACGACAAATGGTAGCGGGTTGGGCCAGCTACTCTAGAGGTATACATTCATATTAGATCTATATAACAACAATGTGGTCCTAGCTTTTTAGCTTAGTTTTCTCCTCCTGTAAAATTTTGTTTGTATAGTTTTATTGATCTCATCAAGAGGGTCTCTTGGCTTTTACCTCTTTGGAGCTGTGGCATCCAAGAACAGAACAGGGCTGCACATTCTGTGGGCAGCAGTGTTGGTCCAATAGTGTTGGGGCAAATGGACCAACAGATTGTTACTCGCGGTCACAGTCAGAGCGAATGAGTGACAATTTAAGGCCATGTGAACGGACTGTGAATCTCAAGACATTTGTTTTGGCTTCACTGCTCAATTTTATTTGGGCGTGGGCAGACGTAGGAACTCTACCAGACAAGATGGGAGGAATTCCTTAACGAGTGACCATATATGAAATTAATAGTACAGTAATAGATACAGGGTTAGAGTTACTTGCTAGGGTTAGGGCGTCAGGGTTAGGGGTAGTGTTAGGTCCATTCTTTATTGTGTTTGTTATGGTGTTCGCCAATTAATGAAGTCCTTCCGACAAGATAATTGACGAGAGGTTAAATTCTATTGTTTGACTTAAAAAAATTTTTTCAAGTGCTAGAAGGAGTGAGAGGCTGGTGAAGTAACACTGTAATTGATTATGTATGACTGCGTGTGTTACCTTTCTTTCACTGTGTGTTTATTCGCACTGTGTTTTGTTGCAGAGGCAAAGTTTTAAAAAAATTCTCAAAGGCCTTGAAAAAAAAAAAAAGCCCTAATACCAGCCTCAAACAGCAGTGAGCACCACTATGATGAGAGCGTAGTATGTGGGGGTAAGAGGGGTGAGGTAGATGGTGGGGTTTGGGGGGGGGGGGATGTGTGTAGTGTGTAATAAAAATGTCACATGTTCGTGAACGTATGATCTCTCTATATACATGATGTAGTACACAGTAGTATGAAATACAAGGAATCTCTCTGTCAGTGTCAGCCAGCTCACGAAACAAATGGCTGTCTCTGTTCCAGATGTGTGAGCGAATGAATCTTCACTAGTGAATGATTTGTTGTTTGTACATTCGTTGTACTTGTGTTTGCGACAACTGATAAAACTTCCTTTGGCTCCACTTGGAATGGAATGAAGTTTATAAAGTTTTCAAAGCTTTCTGGCAAAAGGCAAAAACAAGCCTTTGTTGTTAAAATAGTCCGCATGAACAAAGTCAAGGCAAGAACTCTGATGGCCGCTGAATCAGAAAAGTAAAGTAAATGTAAAGAACAGAACCACTAAAATTAAGTACCGGTATTATATACACTAAATTTTTAACTCTTTCACATCCGGAGGAGGGGGGGGGGGAAATGTTTCCTCACCTGGACCGGGCCTTATCTATGACCTACTTTCTGATTCTGCCTACCGTCGGACAAATTAAAGATTTTGAGTTCTTTGATTATTACAAAAGTGGGTGTGGTTTTGAAGAAGGAAGTGGCGAGTCGTGAAACACGGCTTGCGGTAGTCTTTCTCCATGAAAATATATCTGCCCCTGTTCATTGGTTTCCCAGTTGTACATCCTCTGACCGTATTTAGTAATGATTTCCCAACTTGACTTCAAGCAATGGTTGGCTTTTTGAGGCAAGCAGTCGAAAAATAATAATAAAGTAAAATTTTTGTTCCCACAACTCTTAAAATATTAAATTGTGGTTCTTTCTTTTATTTTCAGGGTATATACAATGAATTTCTTTCATATTATCTACTGATTGATATTTGTGGGTGGTTGGCGGGTGCTGTGGTGTTATTTGCTCCTACTTTCCTGTCAAACATCTGTCGTCCTTATCTCCCCTCCTTTTTTATGTATGTTACTCTCTTATAACACGTAATCTATTCTTCGGCACTTATATGACCTTATTGTGTTGCAAGTGCCGTAAAACTCTTACTAAAACTAAAAACTGATTGATATTTTTCTTTTGAACTTAAAGATTTTTACTGTCCCATTGAGCACGACTGATCTGATTGATGCTGGCAGTAATGTAAGTTTGGATCTCTGCACACTGTGTGTCAGTAGTGTAGACTACCTGTTCATCCCGACCCGCCAACCCTATAGATAGAAATGGCATTGCCCTTGACAGGCCTGAGCTTGTGTGTGTTTCTGATTGATTTTGTTTCTCTGTTTCAGATAAGATATCATCGAGCGAGGTTTCATGGATCCATCGAGAAATAACATGCCATTACAGTTCAATACAAATAAAAACAAACCACCCATGCCTCTTGTTCGGACGAATTCAGATACGAAAGATGGTGAGTGGTCAGGATTTCTTTTTTTATAGTATAAACACGGATAGGTGGAACACAGAAGACTCGAAATCAGGTGTCCTTCGAACTGTGCCTGCGGTCCTCTTTTTTTCTTCTTTATCTTTGTAAAATTCCCTCGATTGTGGTGTGGTTTGCTCTTTCTTTCCTATGAAACATCTGTTGTCCTTATCTTTTTATCCTTCTTTTTTGTGTCCATAACTCTTTTGTAACACCGCTAATCTTTGATTTTAGTTTTAGTAGAGGTTTTACCGTATTTTACGGCCCTCGCAACTGCATAAGGTCATATGAGCGCCATTCGGCACTTATAATATGACCTTAATGTGTCGCAAGTGCCGTTAAACACTTACTAAAACAAGACAAAAGAATTGTAAGACATAATTTGGTGGGTACCCTGTTTGGGTCGGACACAGACGTTCTAATATTGTCATATGTATGCTGTGGTGATCAAATGGGTTCTGGAAGATTTCGACAAAAGTTGTACTGCGTTTAGTTGGCACCCTTAAAGTGAGTTGATTTTTTCTTTTTTTTGCCCTTGTCTCAGATGATGTGAGTTCGAGTACCAATCAGGGCCTGATGGCCGTGCCTGACGGTGGTGGTGGAGGAGAGCAGGGCATGATGGGAGTTTTCAACATGATGGGACAGATGGTGGGACCCATGGCCGCAGACCCCAATATGATGATGATGGGGCCCATGAACTTCAATAATGTAAGTGTTGTTGGTGTGTAGTTTTGAGAGAATCCACTCTCCTTTTATCCCTTTCTCCCCTCTCTCTCTCTGTGTAGTTTTGAGAGAACCCTCTTTCCTTATCCCTTTCTCCCCTCTGTCTGTCTGTCTGTCTGTCTGTCTGTCTGTCTGTCTGTCTGTCTGTCTGTCTGTCTGTCTGTCTGTCTGTGTGTGTGTGTGTGTGCGTGTGTGTGTGTGTGTCTGTCTGTCTGTCTGTCTCTCTCTCTCTCTCTCTCTCTCTCTCTCTCTCTCTCTCTCCCCCCTTCT